GTATCAAATTAGCGGCTACCCCGGACTTCTCTTTACCACAATGTCTTAAAATAAGGGGTGGATTTTCAAAGGAACGGAACACCTGCCTCTTCACCTGAAGTCAATGAGAACTGTGGCTATGGAGCACTTCTGGGGAAAAAACCAACCCCCCAGCTCCTTCCAGCAGTTTTCTCTTGTCAACAGGGACTGTAGATGAGACTTAGAATATGTATTTTGTATAGCTCCTCCGTCTAATGGAGAACAGCCGCACCCCCTGTCTTTGCTGGATGAAAAACCCCTGCTAGAGGTGGGATTTATCCAACCTTTTCTCTCGATACATAAAAAAAATTGTTCCTGTGAGACGACAAAGTGACATCATCACGTCACTCTACGTCCCTCAGGCTGGGGGGTAGACATGGGCGATTAAAGCCCTGTTCCCAGCCCTGCCCCTTCTGCCCGAGGCCCCGGCTCTGGAGTCAAGCCCCACCCATTGTCAGCACGGCCCTCTCCGGCGGCCACGTGGAGAGCCGAGGCCTTTCCAGGTGCCGGGGATAGAGTCGGGCCTGGTGCGCGCTATGGCCAGGCCTGCCCTGGCCTCCAGGGTTAGGGTGAGGCTGCAGTGGGAGGTGGGGAGGGAGAGAAGGGGCCTGGGATGGTGTCAAAAGGTGGGGGGAGAAGGGACCCTAGCTGGTGGAGCGGAAGGAGAAGGGGCCCAAGATGGTGCAGAAGAGGGAGGGGGGAAGAGAGAAGGGACCCAGGCTGGTGTGGCAAGGGAGGGAGAAGAGGCCTGAGCTGCCACCCAGCCCTGCCCCATGGCCGAGGGGAGAGCTGCGGTTGTCTACCCCCCGTGAGAGCCCCCTAGTTTGGGGGGGGGGGGAAAGGCATAATCAAATCATTTTAATGACTGTCAGTTTGTATTCTTTCCAATGAAAAATGTTCAACGTGACGTAAGTTGTCATTTTGACAATTGGTTTTTCCTTTAAAAGGCAACACTTTCCATTTTGCTCCCTCGGGTAGAAAGGCGCTTGGCTGCTCCTCCTTTCTCATCCTTACCCCCTACTTTACCCGTGGCAAGGGACCGGTAGGAAGGATAACGGGGAAAACCCAACATTCAGATGAAACATTTTCCTTTCAGACAATCTTCAGGCAAATCTCAATTCCTGGGATTTCAAAACAAAGACTCCAGCTTTGAAACAGTCCGCAAAACTACAAGCAAATGTCAATAGGCTGTAACCCAGGCCCAGAGAGTAGGAAGCAGCAGTTTGCTTGGGAAGAGACACCCTTTTACTGCCCGTCAGCGTCTGTATTTGTAAAGGGACCCATCACCATGGCATGAGTTGCAACCTCTGAGTTAATAGATGATACCCACCCTACCCTATCACCATAGCTAGGATCCCTACTTTGTACACACACATGTAGGTGCGTGTACATCATATTGTTACTGTTCTAGCAAATATAAGATTTTAACACTGGGCCAAATCCTGAAATGCCGACTCGGTCAAACTCCCATGGTTTCAATGGGTATTTGAATGGAGTGAGGTTTTCAGGCTTTGATTCAATATTCAGCTTGGATATAAGGTCTGAAGTTCATGCAGAATTGAGAAAAGTTTGCAATCTAAGCTTGGTGAGAAACACAACATTTTGGGGAAGCCCTTAATTAGTATTACTGCCTAAACATGAATCAAGGTCATCAAGGGCCTAGCTTTGGAAATAAGAATTTGGAGTGCAAAGAGGGACTAGGTACATCAAAGCTTGTACCCAGTAAATTTGTCCGCTATAGGCCTCAACTGCAAAAGAGTTTTGCAAGACTCTCTCTTTTACCCAGCATAATAGCAAGGTAGTGGTGGTTGATTGACCGTTGGCAGTGCAGTCCAGCGGTTACAGTGGGGTGGATTAGGGTGCATGACACCTAGATTCTGTTCCAAGTTGAGCCACCAACTTGTGTTGTGACTCCAGGGAAAGTTAGCTATCTCTCAGCTTCTGGTTTTTTAAGTCCTGGATTAAAAGGTGTTGTATGATAATACCTGGTTCTGATGTAGTGCTTGGATCCCAAAGATCTCAAAGGGCTTTTGTAATGGAGAGGAAAAATACAAAACGGGGAGTGATTGCCTAAGGTGCTGTCCATCTTAGAAGGGCCTGAAGGTTATAATGGATCACAAAATGGATCATGAGTCAACTGCAGAAAAGACTGTGTTGCATGTAAGAGATGGGAGAATTGTCCTGGTCCCCTTGGCACTGCTGAGACCTCAGCTGGAGTAATGTGTCCAGTGCTGGGTACCAGACTTTAGGAAAGATGTGGGCAAACTGCAGATAGATAGATAGATAGATAGATAGAGGGGTTGTGTGAGGTAGATAGGTAGAAAGAGAGAGAGAGATTTAAAAAGACTGGGCATGTTTGGCCTTGAGAAAAGAACACTAGAGTTGCAACCTGATAACAGTCTTCAAAATATGCTAAGGGAGGGCTGCTGGAAAGGGGATGGTGATCAATTGTTCTCCATGTTCACTGAAGGCAGGACAAGAAGCAATGGGTTTAGTCTGCAGCAAGGGAGATTTGGGTTAGACATTAGGAAACGCTTTCTAATTACAGGGAGAGTTAAGTGCTGGAACAAGATTTCAAGAGACGCTGGTGGGTTTTGGGAACAGGTTGGACAAAACACCTGTCAAGATGGTCTAGGTGTACTTAGAAGTGCTTCCATTCTGGGGAGCTGGACTTGATGACCACTTGAGTTTCCTTCCAGCCCAACGTTTCTAGGATTCTATGAAATGCCAATCCCCACTTAACTGAAAGGTAAACCGAGGCACAGAAGGGAAGTGACTTAAGGGTCATATGGAGAGTCAGCAGCAGAGCTGGGGGCAGAATGAGGCAGGATGGTCTAGCAGCCAGAATGCTGGTCCATAGGGACATTAAGGTTTGAGAAAGTGCAAGGTCACACTTCTTGCACCAATGCCCACGCCGGGTAGGTCTCCCTGTGGATTGCACTGAAAACGTTCGGTAACCCAGCTCAGCCTGTGCTAGGCCTAACATCCCCGTGCTTGTCTGTCTCCTCAGATTCCGCATTGGCTTTAAGCACGCTTTCCGGTGGTGCCCTTTCATCAGTGCTAGTGAATACGAAGGGCTGGAGATGAAGTCTGCCAGGTACCTCCAGACGCAGAGCAGCATGTACAAGATCAGCCGGATGGAGACGACGGTCTCCTCTGTCATCGGCAACGCTGAGGAAGACCCCGAAGAGAACAACAAAATGAAGCGCCTCTCTGTGGATATGACGTCCAACGGCTCCTCCCGCAGTGACTCTAAAACAGTGTCCGAGAGCTTCAGCTTCTATTCCAACACACTCTCCTAAGCCGCCTTCCCACTGAGAGAGGGTCACAAAATATTGCTTATTCCTGGGCCTCCCCCAACCCTTTCCCAGCCCCCACCCCGGTCTCCATTCCATGTGCCTGCCTTCACCTTTTCCTGGCGAAGATGCTCTGGTTGTGACAGTCGTCCCCTCTCAACAGCGTGCCTGTCTTATTACATCGGTTATTACAGTGTTATTACATTGGTTAATATCAGCAATATCTGGTCTCTCTATGGTACCTTGCAGTCGTTTGCTGGGCTGAATGCTTAACCGGTGCCGGCCAGTGAAACCAGATCTTAATTTATGATACGGCGTTGCAGAAAATAAGGTTAAAGGTATCAGAACGTGGCCTTCCATGCGACCGGTCATTCTCCTGCTGTGCTCTGCCATCGATCGGTGTCTCAATGCAATGCTCCACTGGCTTTCCCCACTGCTTTTATTGTCATACTTCCTCCCTTACTTGCCGTTCTCTAGTTGTTGATTTAAAAAATGGAGAAATGGGGTGAAAACAGGAAGACGGAGCTGGTGACTTTTGAAATGAGCGGTCACCTCTGCTGGCTTAGCAGGTAAAACCCTACATGGAGGCTGCCTTTCTTGCAAGTGGTATGTGAAACACAGAGGAGTTCAGAACCTTCTACGTGTAGGAAAGATTGAGCTCTTGAAGTGTATTGCTACCCCCTCCTCTCATGTCTTTCTTTTTAAACGCCGCTGCTTAACTTTCTGTCAAGGTATAGCCCTCCTTCGGGGGATCCTACATGGCGTGTAGTCCAGGAGAGTTGATCATGTGACATGGTCCAGCCTCTTCTGTGCTTGCCACTGAAAAGGTTCTAGTGTCATTTTTAATGTCATCCCAGACATGCTCTGTGCACGATCCTAACCTCATGAAGCAAAGACTTCATCTCAGCTCATCAGGGTCGAGGAAGACAGAACCAAGACAGGACCTCGGATGTTTGCTCTAGCTGGCTGGTTCTGACGGTTTCAGACGCACCTCCCTCCATTGGCCTCGCTCTCATTCCTATGCTCATTAGAACCTCTAGAACAGGGGTTCCCAACCTATGGGTCGCCATTACATTTCAAAAGGGTCACCAAGTGTCTCCCCAGGTGGCTCTGCCCTCCCTCCTCCCCCCCGTTTTTGAATTGCCTTGGGTCACCAAGTCTTCCTGAATTGTCAAAATGGGTCCTTCTCTGGAAAAGGTTGGGAACCACCACTCTAGAGCCTTTGTTTAAAGTGCTGGAGGGGGGTTGTGGCTTCTCACATTACCATCTGGATAGCCCAAGAGAGGCAAAATACCCAATTCGCTAACATGTTTCACTTTCCCAACCCCCCGTGCCCAACACCCACCAAATTATTCTCATTATATCAAGGGAAATACAGCAAGAAACAAAGCACCTGGGTCAACCCTAATTGTCAGGAAATAAATATAGTTTACAGACAGGCCCTCTCCTGGCCTTTCAAAACATGCTTAGGCCCTGGTCCTATATATGGCCTGGGTTTTCCTCAGGGGTCTCTCAGTTAAGTGCTGAACAGGCCTGATTATGCCTCCTTTGGGACACCTGACAACCAATCATCCAGAGCAGCGTGCTCAGAGACAGCTGTCTCCGCCAAATACACTTGCGATGGGACACAAGTAGAGATGGCAAAAAGCATCTTACAAAACCCCATAAAAGTGCACATGGGACGATGCTAAAGACTGCCTGAGAGCGAGGTAGCAGTAGACAGCTCATGTAGTCACACATAGGCTTAACAATCCCAGTGGACAGTCATTTGGTAAATAAGCCTGGAAGATGGGCTTGATAAGAAAGAATATAATGTATCGGCCAATACAAATGTATGATGTGACTGACAGCGAACAGGCTTGTCTAACACACTTACAAACCCAACCTACGAAAAAGGAAATGGGATACTTCCATTATGGAAGACGCTTTCTGGGGCATTTCAAAACCCTGACAGTAGAACCTCCGAGTTACCAACAGCAGAGCTGCGAACTGATCATCCACCACACACCTCACTTGGAACCGGGAGGACCCAATCGGCCAGCAGCAGCCCAAACAAAGCAAATACGGCGCAGTGCCGTGTGAAATGTAAACGGCGGTAAGAGGAGCAGAGTTCCAGAGCTGTCCTAAGTCAATGTTCCGCTGTAAACTTTCCAAGGAACCACCACAATGATTCGTTCAGACCTAGGGACATTTCACAGGCGCAAACAACCTCCATTCCGGAGGCGTTTGGAACTCTGGGGTCCTGCTGTCATTGCCGCTTGTAAAATTCTGCGTCACTGAAAGAGACTGAAATACTTTGCAGATACATGGGTGGGTCCAGAGCAGGGTACGGAAAGGAATGCCTGGTTAAATCCACTGAAATGTATAGAATTAAGCCAGAGATCACCTTTGGGGGTTTACTAAGCAGCCTGTGAACTGGCTGTGGGAAAATGCAGCTGTTAAATAAATTCCCATCCCACACTGATTTTTTAGAGGCCAATAGAAAGTCCACAGATTTCTCTGATGGTTGAGAGTATTGGTTGAGACGCTCTCTCATACTTCCTGTCTTGGGAGGCAAGATCTCAAACTTGCTTTCCTGCTGCCTGCCTGATTCTTCAAATCATTTCTAGTAGTTTGCATGAGGCAGGGGGAAAAAAGAAAAGTCATAGATGGAGAAGTTGAAAGTTTTTGTTTGTTTGTGTCTTTGCATGCAGACTTCGGTCCACTGCTTGAAGTCTAAGCCTGTATCTACACCGCCAGGAATCAAACAGTCTCATACGACATTCAAGTGGCCAATGCACAGCATAAGTTTGGCTCACAGACATGCCTAACTGGAAGGGTAGCAATGTAGTTCATGTCTCAAGCGATGAGTTTTTGCTCTGACAATAAAGTTCCGTGGAATTGGCCTTATTGGGGGGAGGGTTAAAGTGGATGTTAGCGAATAACCCTCTTTTGCTAACTGTCCCAGTGGCTGATTTACAGTAAGTTTACAACCAGTAGGATCATTAAACATGGGAGAGCCCTAATGATATGCAGACAGAATCTAACAAGTCACCATAGTTCACAACCTAAGGTGCTTCTTGTGCAACTGTACAGCTTTACAAGCAACTCTGGGCATCCTCAGTGGTATTACTTGAAACAACAACTCAGTGAGAAAGTAGAACGACATGTTACGATTCGTGTTGTGAAACTGAAAAAGGTGGAATGCACAATTGCCATCGGTATTTGCAGGCTGTAACTGTTTGCAAAGAGCTGTGAATGGCTTCCAAGGTTAGACCAGGGGTCATGCTTACTAACCCTGTGTGTAAACTGTCTCAAATGGGCAGGCTCAGGATCATAACCATGAGGCATCATGAAGGAGCACAAGATGGTTTTGTCTGCCTCTTAAAACAAAGTGGGCCAGATGCGTAAGCGGTATAACGCCAATGACTTTAGCTGAGCCTCAAGCATTTATACCAGCTCAGGATCTGGCCCAATGACGTGGACACTTCCAAAGACAAAACCAGCCCCCCGTCTCCAAAGTATTTCTTTTTATTCAGTGAGACTGGGTTAGTAAAACCAAAGTGTTCTGTGTAAAATGGGCACCTTAACAGCTAGAGGGAGTCCAGATCCAGACTTTCCCAAAAATGCAAGTTGATTTGAATTAGGAGCGAGGCTCAGCCTATTGTCAAGACTGCAGAATTAGGCCCTGGAGTTAGTTTTTGGTTCAGGTCCATGTTTATTGGAAATAAATAAATAGGACGTAGGTGGATGTATGGAACAACTAAAGTAGTTCAGATGACTCACTTGTGCAATGAGATGGGGATATCTGCATGTAAATCTTCTACAGTGAGTAAAGAGCTCATGAAAGAGTTGTGAGGGAACTCCCCCTCCCAAATACAGTGAGACTTTAAATACTATTATACCTTTCCTTTCAAATAGTGTATGTGTCATGCAGATTCCTTGGGCTTTAATGGTTTCAGGTGCGCTCTCAGTTCTTTGATCAGAAATCCAATTTCAAATGGTGATTTCTTTCTAGGCTTTCTGCAATGCTGAACAGTAATATTCTGAGATGGTCACATAGGAGGTCTTCTCCTCCCTCGTTACCCAAACATATGACTCTAACCCACACTAATGGGTGCTGCATGTTCTTTCCTGGGAACATTGGGAAGGGGAGGGGATTTCTGCAATCTAAAATCATGTCTGGTTTTTCAAGCAATTCCTATTTTTATAGAGCATCCAAACACCCAAAACTGAAACCAGCATCCAAAATAATCTCTTTTTGGGAACTGGTAGAATAAGTCCCACCTCTCTAGGGTCTAGGGGCTGGTATCCAAGGGTACGTCTACTCAGAAGCAGTTATTTCGACATAATGTTGAAATATTGTTGAGCTAGAGGACTGCTTATTCCGACTCCTCATTGTACAAGGAGTAAGGGAAGACGGAGAAAGAGTGCTCTATTTTGAAATAAGTGCTGGTAGACGTTCCCAAATTAGCGCAGCGCAAGGTGCATAGCTTATATCGAGATTAGCCCTGCAGTGTAGACGTACCCCAAGTGTGCACCTGATTACAAAGCTGGTCCTGAAAACTGATAGCACCTTTACTTGTAGCTGGTTCCCCCCTTCTTTCCTGGTCCCTAAAATCAATAGGAAAGAGGGGCCAGATCCCTGGAGTTCAGGGGCTGTTCTTTGCAGCCATCCTCATGTTCTGAGAAGATGACCTATAATTCATGTTGCCAACTTCCAGCCAAGTCACAACCTCATGATATAACGACATCTCAGAACACTGAAATCACTGTCTGAAGGAGCAAGCCAGAGCTCTGCATATTTGCTACAGCTGGCTGTTTGCAGTGACTTCAGACAGGCCAATGGGCTGACACGTAACTTGAATTCCCACCAAAAGATGGTTAGATCTTCTAGCCTCGACTGTAGGCTTCTAACATTCTTCTTCATAGGTTAGAGCACAATGCCAAAGTCACTAACACATCCTTACTTGTGTCTTCCCTGACACTCCCCACATTACTGACAGAAATCAACATACATACAGCCAGGAGAAAAATATCAGCTCCAACTTATTTGCTGCAACCTAAAATAAGTTTGCAGAGAGTGGATCAAGTGGTAGGTGTAGCCCAAACTATTGTGGCTTGAGGCCCATGCAAGAGAAATGCAGTTAGCTCTACACGCCAAAGAGGTTGCTTTGTGACTATCATGGTTGGCATGTTTCAGTGATAGCTGTGTTAGTCTGTGTCTGCAAAAACAACGAGCAGTCCTGTGGCATCTATGGGTATGTCTACACTGCCACCCTAGTTCAAACTAGGGTGGCTAATGTAGGCATTCGAAGTTGCAAATGAAGCCCGGGATTTAAATATCCCAGGCTTCATTTGCATCTTGCCGGGCTACACGCGGCACAGAGTAGGTAGTTTGAATTAGGCTCTCTAATTTGAACTACCGGTACACCTCGTTCCACGAGGAGTAACGTTAGTTCAAATTAGCCTAATTCGAACTACCTACTCCGTGCCGCGTGTAGCCGCGGGCACCGGGCCCCCACTCAGGGGGGGTT